AAAAAAAAAAAAAAAAAACAACCATTAAAAAAAAAAGTATTATTGATTGGACACCTGGATGGCTCAGTCTGTTGAGCATCTGACTTCAGTTCAGGTCATAATCTCGAGGTTCATGAGTTCAAGCCCTATGTTGGACTCTGTGCTGACAGTGCAGAGCCTGCTTCAGATCCTCCATCCTCCTCTCTCTGCCCCTCCCCCTGCTTATGTCAAAAATTTTTTAAAAACATTTTTAAAATATTGATGAAATAGGGGCGCCTGGGTGGCTCAGTCGGCTAAGCGTCCGACTTCAGCTCAGGTCATGATCTCACGGTTGTGGGTTCAAGCCCCGCGTCGGGCTCTGTGCTGACAGCTCAGAGCCTGAAGCCCGTTTCAGATTCTGTGTCTCCCTCTCTCTCTGACCCTCCCCTGCTCGTGCTGTCTCTCTCTCTCTCTCTCAAATAAAAAACATTTAAAAAATTAAAAAAATAAAAATAAAAAATAAAAAATATTGATGAAATAATTTCATGGAGGGTATGACAGAGTTGAAGTAATCATTCAAATGATTTTTAACAAGAACAAAGATAGTTGCTTGGGATTAAAAAGTTACTGGGTGTTATATGTAAACCAACTTAACAATAAACTAAGGAAAAAATAAAACTCTTTGAAGCAAGGAAATGGAAAAAAAAATAAAAAGTAAAAAGTTACATTGGGGGGATGGGCAAAATAGGTAAAGGGAGGGGGAATCACAGGCAGAAGACAGGGAATACAGCCAATGGTAATAGCAATGCAATGGAACAGATGGTGGCTATGCTTCTGGTAGCACAGTTTCATGTATAAACTTGCTCAATCACTGTATCGTACACCTGAGACTGATGTGACATGGTGTGTCAACTACACTTAGTAACAAAAAAAATAGTAAAATAAATTTTGGTTTTAAAAAACTATGATCTAATATTACTCCCAGGAAAAACACCTAATTAGAGACTCAGAAAAAAACAGAAGGAACGATTAATACCGAAGAACTAATTCAAGAATATTTGAGAGAAGAGCACATGTTTCTTATATTTACAGGTCCTGCTTTGTATCCAGCCCAATTAAGAGGAGAAGAACCCAAAACCTAGTCACCCTGTGACACTTCAGAACACGGCAGTGGAGGACCCCATATGCTTTCATAATGTAAAAGATAGGTCATATACGATGTAAAAAAAAAAATAAAGATTTATCCAGATTTATCAACAGTACACACTAGAGGACATTGGAACACAAGAAACACAGAGAGAAGGGCTCTTGAACTGGACAATTACACCCAAGCCAGTCATCAAGAAGTACACTAGACAAATTTTCAATCAAGCAAACTCTCAAAAATATTAATTCATACGGTCTTCTCTAAGTTATAAAATGGGTCCCTGGAACAGCCATGAGAAAGACAGATGGGAAAAGGGGAGGTGAGCTTTTGAGAATAGAAAATGGAATTTGATGGTTTCCTGTCTCACATTCAGGTCCTTTATCCATTTTGAGGGTGTTACGCTGAGTGAAATAAGTCAGGCAGAGAAGGACAAATACCATATGTTTGCATGTATAGGAGGATGAGGAGGAACTTAAAGGAGGACCATGGGGGAGAAAAAGCGGGGAAACAGTGGGGGAGAGGGAGGGAGGCAAACCATGAGAGACTCTTGAATGCTGAGAACAAACTGAGGGCTGATGGGGGTGGGGGAGGGGAAGGGGGGTGATGGGCATGGAGGACGGCACTTGTGAGGAGGAGCACTGGGTGTTATATGGAAACCAACTTGACAATAAACTATTAAAAAAGAAAGAAAATGGAATTTGAGATTAAAGGAAGTCCCAGGATAGGAGGTAAGTGGTAGCTGATACAGACTAGGGAAAGAGGGATGGCTTTAGGAAATTGTCTAGAAATAGTGAGAGGGAGCTGATGGGTTCCTGGTTACATCAATTGCCTTATACTTCCCAAAGAATTGGGGGATAATAATTGCATGGAAAGTTTAAAAAGGAATTACTAACTCAAACAAAAACAGGAAATGGTTCTCCCCAAAAGGTATGTGTAGTGGGATGAGCCATCACACACACACATACACACACACACACACAAGCTATGTCCACATCCTAATCCCCTTAACCTATGTGGCAAATGTGATTAAGGGCCTTGAGTGGAGGAATTTATCCTGGATGGCCCTAAATGCAACCAAATATATTATCAAAAGAGACAGAGTTCTGACACAAAAGAGGTGGTGGCTACGTGCCTACAGAGGCAGAGATTGGTGGGATGCAGCCACAAGCCCAGGAATGCCACCAGAAGCTGGATAAACAGAGATGGATGCTCCCCTCAAGCCCCAGGGTACCCCAAGGTGCCCTGGTGACACCTTGATTTTGGACTAATTCACAACTATAAGGGAGTAAATTTCCGTTATGTAAGCCACTCAGTTTGTGGAAATTCACTATAGCAGCTCTGGAAAACAAATACAGCACATGATCCTGATGGGTTATGTGGCCCAGCATTGATTTATACCCACAACACTAAAAATCTATTCCTCCACAAAAATAAGTAACTGGAGAAGATAGATATTTATCTACCATGATAAATTATTGAAAGACTAAGAAATTGCAGTGTATGCTAACTGCTTTTGAGCAGAGAAACAGTGAAAGTGGCAACCCAGAGGGGCAGCTGATGGCTTTTACAGAATACAACTCAAGGGATGTACAAAAGGTTGATGTTTCTCATTACAAGTTTTAGATTTCCATGATTCTTTCTGGATCATACACTATTCCATGTATTTGATAAAACCAAGCCTGTTCCATAACTACATATAATAGTTTGTCAACATGAAAATCTCCAACAATCAACGGGTACAAAACACAAAAACAAAACAAATACAGTTACCTAATAATGCAAAGTCCAGAAACAGACAATGGTATCCAAGAACTGGAGAGGCGAGTCAGAGAAGTTATCCAATTTACACTAACTTATTATTCTATAAACAGTGGGGGCACCTGGGTGGCTTGGTTGGGTGAGTGTCCAACTCTTGATCTCGGCTTAGGTCATGATCTTACAGTTCAGGACATCAAACCCCGCATCAGATTCTGTGCTGACAGCGCAGAACCTGCATGGGATTCTCTCTCCTCTCTCTCTGCCCCTCCCCTGCTCGTGCACACCCTCTTGCTCTCCCAATAGAAAAATAAACATTAAAAAAATAAGCATAGTGGAAGAGCAGGTTGGGAAGGGTGTCGTTTCTTGAGTGTTGTAAAGTGATGAAAAATTCAGAGGCGGTAGCAATTATAGACCCAGTAAAACGGATGCTGCATCAAGCAATTTGTCCATCATCACCAAAAGGTAGTATACAAACCTCCTTCTTCTGGAACCTCCGATTCTTCTTGCTTTGCATCTTGGGAGTCCTGTGTCTGTGCCATCTCTGAAACAAACAGTGATGATGGGATCCTGAGATACCCAGGCTGAAAACGACCAATGATAGATGCTCTCCACAAGGCCCATTGGTAAGCCTGGGACTGAAGACACCAAAGGAATCCCAGCCTCCAGCTCCATCCATTCAAGTACTTTGAACCCAGCCATCCCCTGTCAGCCCTCCACCCCACACCCCTGTGGCCCACTGCCTCACCTCTGAGTCTGCTCAAATTTTAGTTCAACAATCCTGATTAGTACCACGCCTAATCCCTACAGCACACACCCAAGGCTCTCTTCATTCACCTTTCTCTTTTCCAGTTTCATTTGTCAACTCCTAACGTGCCATGTAGTTTATGTGTTTCTCATATTCAGAACCTCTTTCCTCCCACTGGAGGGACACGGATGGCTAGCCTCTGTTTGCCGATGTATCCCAAGTATGTAGAACAACACCCATCAGAGAAGCCACTCCAATATTTCTGGATACCAGAGTACTACATAAATAAAAGCACCAAGGAGTGCCTGGATGGGTCAGTCAGTAGAGCATACAACTCTTCGTCTTAGGGTTGGGAGTTCAAGCCCCACACTGGGTATGGAGACTACTTTCAAAAAAAAAAAGAATTCTAGTATTTTCAAACATTAACAGTGTAGGGCTGTCTGGGTGGCTCAGTCAGTTAAGCATCGGACTTCAGTTCAGGTCATGATCTCTCAGTTCAGGAGTTCAAGCCCCTTATTTGTTGAGAGATTTTTGATAACCGATTAAATTTCTTAACTAGTTATGGGTCTGTTCAGATTTTCTATCTCTTCCTGGGTGAATTTTGGTAGGGTGTCTGTGTTTAGGAACTTATCCAGGGTTAGGCCAGCTCTCCAAACAGTGGAAACTGGAATTGGAATCTCATGGAGCATAGCTCAGTAGGCCAAGATCGTCCCCCACCATTGGCTCCATTTATCTGTACCCCCACTACATGACATGTTGCCCTTCCTCTGTTGCACATAAAGCCAATGAGGGGACCTTTCGAGGCTATAGCCTTGCTGCCATCATCTATATTTTGACATGTTAAATTGAAGGCTCTAGATCTGGCTGGGGCCACATGTCAAAAGAGACAGGCTGTCCCAACACAACAGCCTAGAATTTGAATCCAATTACTTTATTTAAAAAAAAAAAAAAGGACACAACCATCTGACTTCCCTTTGTCTCTCTAGGAAAGCCTGTTGCATTACATAGTCACCTACCCAAAAATCTGTTCAAATAGTCTTGGGTAGGATGGAAGGGACGCAAAATTAGAGGGCAAAACATTCCTGGTTCTGACATGGCCCATCTGGCATCATCCTCAAAACTAGCATCTGGAATCTAGAAAAAAACTACCTTAAAGATACACATACACGTGAGAACTTTCTCTGAGCCCAGTACCTTCTAAACATTTCATCCTAGAAATTCAGTAGGGGGGTACAATTGGCCTGGTTTTCAAGAGAGAACGGCAACCCAGTGGTAAGTAATTCACCCACGGTTACAGTTGCTTACGTAGACCAGCCTTTGAATCCAGGCAATCAGACTCCAGAACCTGAGCTTCTAAACCTAGGGCCCCCAAAAGACAGTACACTTGTGCCCATAACACAGATGGATTCACATACTCCTAGTCCACAGCATCATTCAAGTAGAGACCCTTGTTATACTAGAAGATGGAGCCAAGGGGTAGTAGAAGCTATCTTGACTCACAGGGCCTTTTGTCATCTCCACATTGCTGGATGTGGTCTAGGGCTTTTTCCTGCTGAAAAGACATCCTCCACACCCCTCGAGAAGCCAAGTGGGAACCACAGAAGGACTAGGAAGAAGGGGTCCCTTCAGTGTGCCAGGTCTGGCTCTGCAGCCTTCACACAGGATCAGTGAGCAGAAAGGAGGTTCTTCCTTTCAGGGCATCCTCCTCTGCAAATGCCTCCCCCTGGGGTTGCCAGTCTACAACAGCAATTAAGGAGACTAGGTCCCATTCTCTAGCTCTCTGCTCAATACCTGCCTATTCTAGACACGAGTAAATGAGGGATTTTAAGGGAAGCGGGGAGGTGGGAGGAAGAACAGGTGGGGACAGGGAGATCTACTCCTCCCCCTCCCCCCGATCCTCCTGCTCACCGGAAGGCACACAGAGCCTAAACTTCCCGGACTCAGGATCTCCAAAGCCCAAAGCTTGGATAAGGAAGCCATCGTGTTGCCAGCTCCCATCCCTACTCCTTAGATCTCATGTCCTCATTTTGGGCCAAGAGCAGCAGTGGATGGTCAAGCACAGAGTCTCAGACCCACTGCCCGGGTTCCAGTCACCAGCTCTGCAACCTTGGGGAACTCACTTGACCTTTGGGCCCCAGTTTCCTGTCTCTAAAATTGGAATGACAGGGCTTCTTTCTTAGAAGTGTGGTAAAAACTAAGTACAAATTTACAGGAGGCTTTGGGGTCAACACCTGACTCATAACAAGTACTGATGAAAGTCAGGATTTTTTTTAATACTTATTTTGAGAGAGAGAAAGAGAGAGAGAGAGAGAGAATAGGGGCAGAGAGGGAGAGACTCCCAAACAGGCTCCATGCTGTCAGCACAGAGTCCAACGTGGGGCTAAATCCCACCAATCAGGAGATTGTGACCTGAGCCAGAATCAAGAATCGGATGGACACTCGAGACACAGGGGCAAGATGGCAGAGAAGTAGGGAGCTCCGTGCATTGTACTCGCCCCCATATCTCACACGGAAAAGATCTGAAGCCATAGGAAACCTTACAGAACCCAAGAGATTGGGAGAGAAAGGACACAATCCACTGAGAAAGCCTTCTAATGTGAGTGCGAACTGGGGAAGATAAAAATCGGGCCAGGATCGGAGACTGGAGGGACGGCGGTGATCCCCCTCTGTGGGGAGTGAGAGGGGAAAGACAGAGTCCGAAACTACTCCCGACACGGTCTCTGTCGCTGGGGAACAGAAAAACCTCCCCTTGGGGCACAGAAGGACCATGCGCACCAAATCCCCGTGCTAGATCCCCGCGCGCCAACTCGTCCCTGAGGGGCCACGAGCCAACCGCTCCTTTGAGCTCCTGCCTGGCTGGCTGCACCCCTAGAGGAGCTATGCGCCACAGCTCCTTTGTGCTCCTGGCTTGGCTGGACCCCCAGAGGGAAAGCGAAGGGCTTAAATCTGGGAGATTTGCCCGCAAGTTCGTGTTTGGGGTGACGAGACACAGAGGGACCCGGTTCCCACTCTCCAGTGCGCCCCCCAGGCAAACCTCCATCCTTGCTCCCCAACCCGACCCGGAGGAGAAGGGAGCAGTGATCTAGCTCCACCCCCAGGGCTGGGCAAGAGTCTTGGAATCGCCCCGAGGGGATCGCCTGCGAGGCTGTGTCTACAGCAATTTCAGTGGGGTGCACAGTCTGGGATTTGGAAACTAGGCCTGGTCTGGGTTAAAGAGCGCGACCCACTTTGGCTGCGCCCCCGGCACGGGGAGTTTACACACTCAAAACAGCGAGGTGCAGCGCTTGGTTCAAGAAGGGACTGGAGCGCCGCCACTCTTCTCCCCACAACCGCCGAGGCAGAACTCCCGCCTGACTCACTGGATCACCCCACGCCCATCCCTGCTTGAGAGCTGCCCTCCTCCCTTTTTTCCTTTTTTTAAATTTTATTTAAATTTTTTTCGTTTTTGTCCCCAGAACACTGACCTGATTAACTCTGGTCACCGGCTTGCTTAAACAGTCACATTTAGTCCATTCTATAGATGTAAATTCTACACCTACCGACCTTTTCATCTCTGTCTCTCAGGAGTAATTAGACTATATAGTTTCTATGGATAAAAACAGCATCCTTCTATCAACTATCCAACCATATTCCACCATATAGATCATTGAAAAAAGCTACTTATCCCTACTGCCTGTTCATTCTATTTCCAATTTTGCCTCATCCCCGCCCTGTCTTCTCTCTCTTTCTCTATGCTCTTCAACCAGCACTGAATACAGCCAGCTATTTAATCGTAGCTGGAAAATCCTGTTATATGCTTTAAACGGTTCTTTGTCCATCGGTTTTCTTCTTTTTTCCTTTTCTTCTTTTTGACCTTGCTATATATTTTTTTATTTTCTATTATTCGCCTTCCCTCCCCCGTTTTTTCTCTTAACTTTCTCATTTTCCCCTCTTGGTTTGCATGTTTGTCGGATTTGTCCGTGCATTTGTGTGCCTCTGTTCCCTGTGTGTTTGTCCATCTGTTTTCTTCTCCAGAGCTACCTCAAGAAACAAGCCAAAGTACACATGGTGGAGAGTCCCAAATATCACTACGAGTAGGAAAATAAAATAACAAGGGAGACCAAGAGATACCATTCAAAAAACACTCTCTGAAAGGATAGGCCCTGGACAGTCAAAGAGTCTTCTTGGGTACAGCAGCGCTCACATGTGAAGAGAGCCTAACAAGTCTTTAAAACTAACAAGAGACAGAAACCCAACTAAAATGATGAAACGAAAGAGCTCTCCTCCAAAGAAATTCCAAGAAGAATTGACATCTAATGAACTGCTCAAAACAGATATCAGCAGCATAACTGAACAAGATTTTAGAATAATAATCATAAAATTAATAGCTGGGCTTGAAAAAAGCATAGGGGACATCAAGGAAACTATGGCTACAGACAACATGGAGCATAAAAATAGGCATGATGAATTAAAAAATGCGATAAATGAGATACATAATAAATTGGAGGCATCCAATGCATGGCATGAAGAGGCAGAAAGGAGAATAAGGGATTTAGAAGACACCATTATAGAAAAAGAGGAAACTGATGAAAAAAAAAAAAAAAAGACAAACTGATCCAGGAACAGAAGAATTCGAGACCTCAGCGATACGGTCAAACACAACAATATCCAGATCATAGGAATCCCAGGAGAGGAAGAGAGAGGAAAAGGTGCTGAAGAAGTCCTGGAACAAATTATAGCTGAAAACTCCCCCAAACTAGGGAAGAAAGTAAACGTTGAAATACAAGAGGCTCAAGGACTCCCCTCAGACGTAATTT